CGTGGCCTGGAACCACGGAGCTTCAAGAAGCCTAAAACTAGACCCCTGTTCCAGGCCTGGCTAAGAGAAGGGGCTGGCGGAGGGAGCACTTCTGCGCCGGGAAAATGGCGGAGGCCGCAGCCACTTGGGTGCAAGCGTCAACTGTAGTGTGACCGCGGATGTCCCTAAGGTGTACGTGGACGCAGCGAAGTGGCGTGGGGCCTACCAACTACCAGGGCATCCTCCAGCACGTGCAGAAAGCTGATGGATCACCGAAACATGGATTTTCTCTGCGTCTCTTTCCCCATTTGGTTTTCTAGATGAACACGTGTCCTGCAGTCCCGAGAGCCGGGAAGGCGGCCCGTGTTTGAGGGTGGTGCTGACCATGAATGGCCCTTTGCTTTCTCCCACGAGCCCCCAGGGTGGCCAGTGTGGTGGGCACTGTCGACCCAGGGGGCTGAGCCATGCCTGGGTGTGTGTGAGTGCGTGAGTGTGCGTGCGAGAGCGTGTGTGGAGGACGTGGAACGTGTCCCCGGCCAGCTCTCTCCAGGTGGGAGCGCGGATCTCGGGGTCCGAGCTGCTCTTTCACCTGGCCCTTGTAGTGGCCGTGAGGCCCAGTGCCCTGCCCCTCCCAGAGCCCTTCCACCTCGTCTGTCTCCAAGAGGCTGACCCCCACGGCTGCTCACTGTGGCCTTAGTTTCGAGGTGCAGCCCCTCGCCCAGGTCTCCTCGCCTTGTTCTCTGGGCCTCCTGTGACAAAATGCTGCAGACCTGTGCTTACGGGGTCAGGCCTTTTCCCCACAGTGCCCAGGCCTGCAAGTCCAAGTCTGAGGCAGACCTCGTGTCTGGAGGGGGTCCCCGGAACCTGCCTTCCAGCTGGGAGGGGAGCCCTGGGGCTTTGTTAAATTTTTATTTAAAAACCATTTATTTATTTATCTGTTCACTTGTTGTGATTCTCAAGTCTCTGGGTCTGGGATTTGAACTGCGCTGACCATGCGGAAATCTAGCCCCTCAGCCACCACACCACCTGCTGGCCCCAGGCCTCTTCTGTGTCCTATCACTCAGGCTCCACCCTCCCGGCCCATTCGCTCCCGGAGGCCCCACCTCCTGGCAGCATCACTTCGGGGTTAGTGCTCCCACCTGTGGACCTGGGAGACGTGACCCTCCAGACCAGGGCACTGGCATGCCACCCTGCAGAGTCCTGGTGCTGGCACAGCCTACAGACGGAGACTGCTGTGGGGCACAGGGTCCCGGCCCTGGGCCTAGACCCTGGCCTGCTCCGCTGCCTCCTGGTGCCCTTGCAGATGGGAGGGGCGGCACACAGCCTACCACAGCCTCCCCCATGGGGGAGAAGGCCTGCACGGCACACGCTCTGCGGTACACGGCCTGCCATGGCACACGGCCTGCACGGCACACGGCTTGCACGGTGGGCCCCAGTCTGGAGCAGCATCTCTGCACCCCACTCTGTCCCAAACCCTCCCCACCAGAGAGCAGTGAGCTATGTGAGGCCCCCCACCCACTCACCACCCTCTGGCTCTGAGGCTGGGTCCTGGGGCCAATGTCCCCTTTCTGGGGCTGGAGTCGAGAACATCCTCCAGGGCCCTTCCTTCATGGTTATTGAACCAGTGACCAGGAGCCCCAAAGCCCTGTGGTTGCTATGGAGATGGAGCAGATCTCAATGGAGCGGTGACCAGTGGGATTTTCATGTCTATGGGAGGTAGCTCAGCCCTTCCGTGGCTCCTCAGGAGGTCCTTGCAGCCTGGAACCCCCTTATGAGGGTTTCTAGAAGAGTCAGCCTAACAGGAGGGACTGGATCCTTCCCACACTGCCGTCCTGCCCCTGCTGCCCTCTCACCCCTGCCCACCCACGTGCCCGGGGCCCAGAGAACTGGGGTCGGAAGACAGATGGCCCTGGTTCCCCAAATGTATGTGGGGTGCATAGGTAAGGGGGTAGGGATTAATTTTCCTATTTTGGGGGCCCCCAACTCCCTCTGGGCCCCTGCCAGTCTTAGCCTAGAAGGTCCCACCCCACCCTGAGCCACAGGGTCAAGGACAAGTCACGCGTGTTCTGGTTTCGTCAGCATTCCACAGACCTTTGCGGGGCCCAGAGTCCTGCCTGGGGAGTGAAAGGATGCATTTAAACCACCTTTGCAGGGGTCCACAGTTGGGTTCTGCAGGTGGCCTCGGTCCCTGGTCATCTGAGCTCTGGGAGATGGCTGTGGGGAGGTGACACTGGGTAGGTGGGTGGGGGATGAGATGCAGGGAAGTGGGAGGGCCAGCTCTAGGCTCCAGGAGCCCAGCCCATGGGGGAGAAGGGCTGAGGCCCAGGGGCTGGGTCCTTGTGGAGGAGCAGGTGTGGGCTGGAGTGGGCGGGCAGAGGGAGCACCCCGTTACGGAGACAGACCCAGCAGGCCTCACTCCCACCGCACCCAGTACCCGGCCCAGGTGAGGCAAGCAGCAGACCCCCAACGGGGTCTGGACTAGGATGATCAGATTGTGCTGTCTGGTGCCGAGGACTTGGGGACCCCGAAATCCTTCAGGAGGTCTTGATCGGCTCCCCCAGCCATGCATAGAAGGTGATGCGTCTCACCATCGGGTTGTCCCGGTGCCGGACCAGCTTGCTGTGGAAAAGCCCATCTCTCTGCCTCACTGTAAAGATGGGAGCAGCTATTGGCTTTAGCCTCTGAGTACAGGGACCGTGGGGCGCACGCGCTCGCGGCCTTCTGTCCCCTAACTGGTGCACTGACAGCTGCCACCTCCCTCCCCCGCCCCCCACCGCCTGCCTGGGCTCTCTCCAGGAACTGGGCTGACATGGCATCCCCAACACCAGCCTCCTCCCTCCCTCTCTCGCCCCCTTCCCTCGGGCTCCGCTCTGGCAGGCTTCCCAGAGGAACCATCCGGGATGCCAGGGTGGCACCCCCTCACTCCACCCTTGGGTCTCTGTGGAGGAGGGCTGCAAGGTCACATCCCCAGGAGACGTTAGCGTTCGAGATCGGTCGAGCCCAGGGGAACCATGGCCGGAGAAGCCAGACCCGCGTCAGCCTGGTGCTAACAGCCATGCCAGTGCGGCCTCCCTGCCCCTTCCAACCAGTCAGAACAGACCTTGTGCCAAGCTCCCTCATGGAGGCACCCTTGAGTCACACGACCCCATGGGGACCACTGATGTTCCTGTTTAGCAGATCGGGACACCAGGGCTCAGAGAGGGGACACTCGCACGGCAGGAAGTGCCACCGTCGGTGCCATGGCCTCCAGGAAGCCTTTCCTCTCAGGCACCCGAAGGACCCTGTTCCCACCAAGCCTCTGAGGACTTGCCGAGAGGCCTCTGTTCTGCAGTGCCCCCTCCCCATCCTGACTCCAGAGGCCCCCGGGGACCCATACCCTGCTGAGGATATGAGTAGGCCCCGGCCAGGTTGGCCAGGAGAGAGACCCTACAGGGCAGGGGCGGGGGAGAAGGGAGACGCCCGGGACCCTTCTGCTCAGCATCTCGTGGAGCGTCACGGGAGTGCGGGAGGCTCAGAGCCTTCGCAAGCCACTGGCATAGGACGGGATACGGGGGCTCACTGTGACGCCCCGGCTCTTTCAGAGCAGAGAGCAGACCCCCGCGCCCGCATGGAGAAGCCAGGGCCTGGGAGGAGCAGGCAGGGGTCTTGGGTCTTGACTGTAGGGACGCTGGGCCTGGGTGGACCGCCATCGATACAGACCCCCCGTAATGGACGGCACTGGGCCCCAGAGGCCAGCGGCCTCGCATCTGGGCTGACGGACCCTCCGTGGCCACTCGCTCATGGGGGAAGGTGTGTGGCTGGAGCCCTGTGCTGGCCCAGGGGTGCCGGCTGGGAGGGGTGGTGAGCCTGGCATTACTGAACTGTTCTCCCTCCCCGGAATCCGGCCTTCATTGATGTGATCATGACATGAGGTCACAGAGCACCAGGGAATGCCCAAGCCAGCTGACTGGCGCCTTTATAAGGACAGGACGCAGACAGGGGACAAGGCCCGTGATGACAGGGGCAGAGTGGGGTGGCGTAGCTCATGACCAATGGCCCCCATGGACTGCTGGCCACGGCCAGTGCTGGAGAAGGCAGCTGGGCTGGTTCACGCCCCGGCGCGCAGCCTGCTAGGTGGGCAACCTCGGGCACGTAGCTGCCCTCGCAGGGCCTCAGTGTTCTCGTCTGTAAAATGGGTGCTGGCCTCCCTCACCCACCCTCTGTCACCCACCACCCTCTGCGCTCCCTGCTGACGTGTGACGGCGCTCTTGCCTCCGGGCCCTCTCTACCCGCCCCTTCCTGGCCCACTCCACCTGTTCCCTCCATGCCGACCTGGGACCCAGCACTGATGTCCCCTGGTCGGGCTCAGCCACCTTTTCCCTGAGTGCCCGCTGCCCTGCACACCCCTCCCTGCAGCTCCTCGGGAGGGACCTAGGAGTAGCTTCAGGAGGGCCCGAGGCGGGCTAGAGAGGCCCTGCCAGCGCACAGTGGGGCTTCTAGGCCCTCCCTGAGCAGAACGGCCAGTGCAGGGGCTGGGGGACAGAGAGCATCACGCAGTGGCCTCGGGGAGACAGGGCCTGCCAGCCGGAGAGGCCTTGCCCCGCGCGCTGACAGCGGCGCTCCTGCCTGGGCACCCCAGTGTGTCCCGGCGACTGTCCCACACGAGGAAAGACACCAAGAGGCCACTGCGTGCCGCCTGTATTGCCGGGAGATGCACAGTCATGAAACGACCTAGTCGGTCACAGAGTCCGGCCCAGGGGCCGAAGCCACACCGACACCCCGGGCTGTGGCCGGCGCTTTCCGCGGGCTGCGTGGGCATCTGTCTCCTCATGCTCCGGGCTGGGCGCTGAGAGAGGCCAGCTCGCACCTCGCGCCCTTCGACTCCTGAGCAGCAGCTCCCAAAATGCGCTCAAGGAGGCGGCGGTCCCTTAAGGGTTAATAGCTGTTCCTCGAGAAAAGGGCTCTGCGGTCAGAGTTCAGGAGACACGGGCCAAAGGAGGTTCAGCA